TGATTAAAAATAAAAGGCGAAAATCAGACCAAATCTACTAAAAAAAAGTCTATATATCTTCTGCTTGCAGATTTTTTTATGTATCTAGACAACAGGGTCCATACATTTGCTATATACATTTTACTTAAGGACAACGTTAGTAATAAAAACATAATTAAATTGTTAGAATATGCGCCTATTGCATAAGAACACTCACAATAAATTGTTTGTAAAGTTGAAAATTCATAAACAAACGTTTTCACGAAAAATCGAATGCTCTATATAGTAATTTTGTACAGAGCATTAAATAATCGTCAAGAAATTATATAATATCCAACGCATATTTTTAACGACCTATGTAGTCGAGTGGCTTGCACACCGGTTTCCATAGTGTCCGTCATCTCTTACGTCCCGGGTTCGCTTGCCGGCCGAGTCAATGTAATAAAACCAACTTTTCTACATTGTCTCGGGTCTGTGTTTGTGGTACCGTGTCGTTGTTTCCGATTTCCATAAACAAATGCTTTAATTACTTACTTTGAGATCAGACAATCGTATGTGATGTTGTCTAATATTTACGGTGGATATAGCGCACTACCTTTTCCTTAAAGGACATTGTGTTTAGATGGCCAAATAAAAACATATAGCAAATAATTTGCATATTGCAAATAAAGGTAAAGCGTGTTATATACAAATAAACAAATGGCCTAGATCCCTAGCGCGTGGGTCGTCATATTCCAAGAACCGTTCCCATCCCAGGTTCCAGGTAGGCAGTTATTGATCCGCTTTTCAATCGCGCTCAACTACACCGCCATGTAGCTGATTACAAATCAGCTAGAATCTTTTAACTTGTATTCGTTAACTACATTGAGCTACAAACTTAAGCTCACATAGGTACAAGCAGTTAGCTGCTTATTCTATATTACAGTGATAATATGTCTACCAGGATTTAATGAGCTGTTTTATGTTATCTTTCGTTAGGTATCATGTTCGGCAAAGGAGACACGGTGGAGTTCTCCATAACACTGATGTTTTAGTGTTTAGATTTAGAACATCAGTGTTTAAATACTTTTTGCCTTGCTTACACTTTAAACAAGTAATAAAAAATTCGATTAATTCTGTGTACACACGCTAGCACATCAAGCTACACATTAGACGTATTTTGTTCCGTTGCACTGGAGGCGATTTTCGAACAAAAACCTGTAGTCTGGTGTGCCGTTGTCCGTACATACATATCAATATTTCTGAACAGACTGATAGATACATGAATATTCAAGTTCTCCTTCCGTTTAAATTCTGTACTTGCAAAGAAATTTTTCAAGAATTTTGAAGAATTCAGTGTAGTTAAGGATAATATTAGTTGTTTATCGAGCTCCGATCTGTCAACTATATGTATATACATTGATAAAGTTATTATTTAAGCTAAACTTGTACTAATCAATAATATAATAACTGTGAAGTAAATCAGGAACAATTGTAACATGGTTAAAGAAAAAAATATATAATACAGAATATTATACATATATACACGGCGTTACATTTCAAGATAATCGACAAGAAATAATACTCAGGTGCATCTAGCAAATCTACATACACATATGAAAATGTCATAACTGCCAATTTAGGCCGCAAAATTGAAGCAAGTGACAATTGTATTGTTAATAAAGAATAATTTTGCTAGATTGTATACTTCTAGCTCATATTACCTTTCGATATTGCGCTACCGCGGCAGCGGGCCTTTGATGAAGGTGCGAGTAATAATTCGAAAATCGTTAGTATGGTATCGTAACTATGGAACATGTAAGCGCTCTACAAGGGTATTTCACACTTTGTTTTGGTAGGTAGGAGTTTCAAAATAAGGTTCGTAGGTGCTTAGATCTCCGTACACAGCGTTTGTTTTTTAATCTACTAAGGTAGAAGGAATGTCATATTTTACTTTATTGACATAAGAATTCTTCAACAAAGGAATTTCATTTCTGTATCGTAAGAAGAAGAGAACTTCTTTTGAGACGAGACAAGGTTGTGTTTTTAATTAAATTATCCCATTTTCTTTTTTATATTATGGGAGTAAGCGAAACACATACACTAAATAATACGAAGATAGCATTAAAACTATCTAACGGGCACGTACAAAAATGTATGCGACTCCATAAATTAGAAATAAAATCATCAAAACTAGCATAATAATATGAAAAAATTCATAGCTATTGAAAATTGTACAAAATTTGAAATTTCATATTGCGTAACTAAATTTTTCAATCATCTTTTTGATCACTTAGACGTGATCCATAAGCAGTGGAGCGTGGGAATATTGTGAAAGAATAAACTAGTCTGGTTAGTTGTAAGTTGCATAAGTATTATGTAAGCTTTTTATTGGAACTACAAATGTAGACAGAATCAATAGGACGAGGTATCCATTCATGTATGTATATAGCAGCTGAAGGTTGGAAATTATGAATAATGGACATTGGAAAGTTTGATGTTTAAATATCAACAAAGATATTGATTCAATACTATCACACAGGCTTATCGCCTGAATGATAAAGCTGTACCCATCGCTCTTGTGCATATGGTAGATTACGAACACATACACTATCAAGATTTATTGTTGCTATTTGATATAAAAAATTATTTGATGGTGGATTTCATTATTGTTTCGGTTTGCATTGCGCATTTTACAATTTGCACATGAAAATAATGTTGATTGATCTCTGATTGGGGAATTCCCTCTATTGCAAGACGCAGTATATGATAAAATTGAGATATAACAAAAAGCTGTCTAGTCTATGGGTACAGGGTCAAGAGCACGTCAAGCTTGACACTTAAGATTTAACTTCAACTCCATGCCGCTTACGATAGTAACGGTCCAAAGTACAAAGTGTCAAAGCTTGACATGCTCTTGACTACATAACAGTTAATAAAACTTCTTACTTAAAACAAATTTGTATGTTCAATCTCAAAGCAACTCATAAAAATTATAGTATACAAAGTTTAATAACTAGCTTCTATGATTAATTTGTACAATTGTATGATTATAGTACAATATTCGTTAAAAAATGTCCTTGATTTCAATGAATCTCACGTGGTGCCATCATGAGGCATCGGCACTATTCAACAAGTCTCAACAAATGAACCAAATTCAAGGCTGAAACCAATACAGTTCTAAAACAAACCTGAACTGTTGTTGCTGTGTTGTTATTTGTTGTATTGTATTATGTTGTTGTGCTATTATTGTTGGACGTAATATGTTTTTTAATTAATTTGTTAAAGAAAAGATTTTTTGTACATTACCAATTATTATTTTTATTGAAACAAGTGTATGAATCAATCCCTTTTCCATCAAACAAAATAAATAAAAACTCTATCTTGACTGGTTATTTTGACTAAATGCAATAACATTTCCAAAGATATGTCATGATTTTATCGATATAAATATGTGACACCTGTAGTAATATCCATAAGTTACATGTACACATAGAAATACATAAAAACTCATTAATAATAATAATAATAATAATTTTAAATTGAAATCTAACACAAAAATAAAAAGATAGAAGGGGAAAAAAGGCGTTATTGACATGAGTACACTTTGTAGATGGTACCACATTCTCTTCATTTCATAAAATATTTATTTATTATTTATTTATTTATTTCATGCATATAATTTAATATATGTCTTTTCATTGCCCCTTTTATACACTTTTTTAAAAATGGTGTTGTCTTTGTAACATTTGTTAAAGTACAAAATATTAATCATTTAACAATATCAGATTGCCTTGTTATTCAGGTAATAATTTATTTTAAAGTGTCAAGATAAAAATTGTTTCGTAACACTATAGTGTACTGTGACCATGGCACAATTTAAACAGTTAGAAAATAGTCGCTGTAAAAATTAAATGACACATCTAATCTGAAAGCAAATACATAGGGTTGGGCGTGATAAGATTATACAAAAACAAACATTTGTTAATTCAGGTTATACGATTTTCAAGCACATTTAGATACTCTTTATATAGGCACGTTCCAGAACTTTTTAAAGTTTTAAAGGAAAAAATTACTTTAGAAATGTTTAACTTAACATTTATGCCTTTGGATAGTTAGTGTCAAATGCGTAAATACCATATTGTAATGTGGTTTACGAAATGACTGAAAAAGAAGTGGAGGACGCAAATGCAATATGCCAAAATTTTACAAACTACAGATTTGTAATCTCTTCACAGGCGAAAGATATACTAATGAATACATACTTATTTTTGGTATGTTGGCTAATTGCACAAAAATGTCTTAGAACATAGGACATATTTGGATTTACAAAAAAAATATCTACTAAACTCCATCAAAGTGAATTAAATCACACATGTTATCTGTTGTCTAACTTCATTGTTACTGATTTTTTTTGCTTTTTTACCTTTTATTTTCAATTATACCAAGATTACAGAGTAAGGCATTATGAACTATACATGTTAATATGAGGTTGACAGTGGAGCATGCACACAGCTTGGACATATACAGAAACACAATACTAAAATTATGTGAGATTAACTGGATATAATGTTTTCGTTAAAGCATATTCAATAACAATGTCATTAACTCAATATATGTCCTACTACTGGTTATAGATTCCCTTTAAATATTAGGTGTGCTGTTAGTACAACACTAATGTAATAATACTATGTAAATCAGATACTATAAAATGATTTTTGTTAAATATAAGTATTCAGTAAATAAAAGTCTTGTATTATGTACACATCACGTTAATTATTTATATTTCTTATTTTTATAAACTAATTGAGAAATTGGTGACATGTAAATCATAGTTTCTCAAGTATATGTACATCTAAATATCTTGTTTTAAGATATATAGCGCACTACTAAAAGTGTATAAAATATATATATACTCAACCACAAGGATGTCTTTATGGTTGTTATCAATTACATCTTGAGTGTACAAAAAATTTTCCTTTTATACAATATATGTGAACAATAAAAGTATTGTTTTTCTAGCTTAATGCATATGTACTCACCTTGCGGAAGGCAAAGAGTTCATTTTGCAGTCTTTGCCGCTCGGCTGAGGGCTGCTGGCCCTTCCCGCGGATGAATTTTAGCATTCTCCCGGCCTGCAACAAAACAACCACTTAGCCACTGCACAAACACAACAACGAACAGACAGAAGACTTCGTCCTACCATTATGATTTCATGCTCAGTTGAACGCGCGAGCACTAGCACACTATCTGGCACCGGAACGCCGACTGACTACAACCTGTCTACCCCTAGCGCCGCACAGCGCTACCGGCTCTGCCCAAAATAATAACACAAGTTCTCCTTACAATAGCAAGATAAACGTAGCACAGATAACACTGCAGATAGCCACGAAACTAATTACAACTATGCGACAAGTTACCGTCTAACGGCCTGACAACGCCTGTCCGACAGGTTACATTCACCGCTACAAACCTACTACGGTTTGCCCGAATATGAGTACATAGCGGTTTATAGAACACTTTTACGTACCTAGTGACGACAGTTTGAGAAGTTTTTATTGATAAAATCCAAAATTAGAGAAATGACAATCACAAACAGCGTCAGAAATACACACAAACACGAAAAAAACCACTTCAAAAATTATGAGTGAATGCACGCACCCACACACACGCCATTCTATCGTGACGTTGACTAATAAAAAGTGTTGCCATATCTCGAACTGAACTTCCTTGTTTTGAAAATGATGCATCGTATGCACAGACATATATATATATATATATATATATATAGATAGACGCCGCAAGTATACGTACTTTGCGTGCCCAAAGTAAGTGAAATTCACTTACTTAGTTGCCGCTGCTACTCTTCAGAACGCGCTCGATCGTTATCGTAGATAAGCGCCAGTCGAAAACGCGAAAAATGCATAATTGTTACATTATAAATTGCAAAAGCACCATAACTGTGGGTAAGTCGGTAAACGGACGTTTCCTTCCACGGGCAAGTGATTTTGTAATCAGAAGATGCATAATTTATTTTAAAAACAATTGTTTTGGTTTTGTATGAATTTCGAGAAAACAAATACGCAACCAAGTGCATCCTCATGATTTGTTTTATTTTATTCGGCTTTTACTTGGTGCGATATATTTGTGATCCTTTGTTATTACGCCATGAATATCGAACGAACGCACTTTTGTATAATGCATTCAGTTTCGTGGTGCGACCGCTTGTACATTTCTTTGACCAAATTTGTAATGTGACCAAATGTATACGTTAGGATGTTACCTTGCTGTTCTCGATTCTGATCGATTTTGAAAACAAAGGGGCAAAATTATTATGACCTTAGCAATATTATAATAATATTCTATAACTCTTTCGTTATAACGTTTAGTAACGTTTCGTTTTTTTATTTTGTGCTTTGTATCTAGTATAGTATCTATTATCAGTAGTACCTGTAATTTCAATAATTTTTTGCAGCACGTTGCCTCGAATGTCCGGATATAGTGAGCAAATAATTATATGTATACATCACCGAATATGTAGTACAAATAATACAAAAAAGTATATGTATAATGCAAAGAATTAACAATGCGCTGTTCTTACAAAAAACTGGAGTTGGTCATACGTATGAGTTCGTTGCTTTCGAGTACGAAGGTGGTCTAGTTTATTTCACTTAAGATGCTATCCAAATATACAGAATAGCAGTCTTAGAAATCCGAAAAATAATAAACAAATCACAAAAATTTCACACGAGGATGGCATTAAATGGGTATGGGTAAACCTCTTCTGATTAATAAGAATTTACCCTATTTTAGCAGGAGTAACATTTTCATTTGTCTTACTATTCATCAATTTGATCAATTACCTACAGAAAACCATATAGTAAAATTAATTAAGGCAGTCGCAAGTTCATATATTGACGTGCATATTCATTATTTAAGTTAATCGATAAGATCTTCTATTACAAATAGATGTTTATATAAAAGCTCATTTTATTGGAAGGACAGTAATTTTAATATTGGAAGTCGATAAAAAATTAAATAATTATTTATTTTAAGTAATCAACCGTTTTTAAAAACAAGTAAAACAAGGGACTTAGCTATCTTATTCTAGTATTTTCGTACTATGTTAATGTTACAACTACTTGTAATCAACAAATACTTGAACAAAAATTATTATATTTGGATTCGATTAATTCAATGGAATACGTGTGTTTACGCGTATTTCGTTCAATCAATCGATTTAGAGCGAGCGGAAGGAGGTTCCATCACTAAATAGTTCTTGTGACATAATAGTGGTTAAATAATTTACCGTAAATGTTTCTTAAAAAAGAGTGTTGCCAAATGAATTTATTTTTTGCTATTGTACAAATATTAGAATGAATGTTAGTTCAAAAAGGTCTATTAGTATTTAATAAATGTTGACCGATACCGAGTGTGCTAATTACGAATATATCACTTTATTTTTCAAATAAATGCAATTTGGGCATAATTTTCGGAGTATTTGTTGATGCTAATTACGAATGTGGTACTTATTTCTAAATCTATAATGGCGGACACGATTTTTCAAATAAATGCAACATGGGTATCGGTTTTGGGGTATTTGGGGGTACTTATTACGAATATCGCACTTATTTCTAAATTCAAGATGGCAACACGACTTTTCAAATAAATGCAATATGGGTATCATTTTCGGGGTATTTGGGGGTGCCAATTTAAAATATGGCACTTATTTCTAAATCAAAGACGGCGAAAACGACTTTTGAAATAATGGCAAGTTGGTTATCGTTTTCGAGGTATTTGAGAGTTCTCATTATATAAATAGCATTACAAAAAGTTTATTTTGTGGTTTTATTTTACTAGGCTTGGACTACGTAAAGGAAAGAGAATTAGCAGTTTCAATCAAAAAGTAAAGTGGCAACAATTGCATTCACTTGTCGCGAATTTCGCGATATGAAATTTCTTTACAAGTAATTAATTATAATTAAATTTTTATTGAATTGATATTCAATTATTTTTTGTGAAATTACTCCACTAGTTTGTTATAATTATTAATACAAAGATCGAACACTCAGAAAAAACGCTCAGAAAAAAATCTGAAAATTTGTATTAATAATTATAACAAACTAGTGGAGTAATTTCCCAAAAAATAATTGAATATTAATTCCATAAAAATTTAATGAATACAATGAATAGCGACATCTCTCGCCAGGACTGGTAGCTGTAAAGGTACTAACTGGGTGATAAATCTACAACAGATTTCTCATAGATGGCGCTACGACTAAAAAGTCGTTGAAAGACCAAGTACAAAGACACGACGCAAGCACATAGAAAAATTCGTGAGGTCCGTTGGTTCATTCCGTGGCTTAGTTGGTATAGCATCTGGCACGGTATTCAAGAAGACGTCGGTTCGAATCCGACCGGATAGAAGGAATATTTTCTGAGTGTTCGATCTTTGTATTAATAAGTAATTAATTGTTAAAATAATGTAATAAAGTAATAAATTTTTTATTTAACGTTATGGAGCCAGTGAAATTAACTTTACTAGTGTCTTGTCTGTTAATGAGTATTGCTTTAAGATTCGCCAAGCCGTCTTTTCAAGATTCTTTTTAATGGGTATATTTTTTGTTTTTCTGTACTATTTATTTGTAAATGGCCAATTCGATTTTTGTCTCGTTGATTACTTGCTTAATGAAGCAACATATTTTTCAATGTTGTCCTTTGGAAACAAAAAACCATGTTATCAAGCAAAGCCGTGCTAGCCCAGAGATAAAAATTGATTACAAGCGAAAAAACGGTATTTTCAAACACTTTCACTATCATTTTATGACAAAATTCGCGTGTCTCTTATTCGCTGATTCGAGAAGTGTTTGGAATCAAACGGGCTTTTCCGATATTAATAACCTCATAAATTCAATTTCAACTATTAACTTGGAGTCAAAGTTTTTTGACGGTCGTCTTCGGTCTTCGGCCGGTTTCAGTCGGTTTATGAATTCGCTTCAATGAAAGCGATACGTAGGTATGAATTCGCTTCAATGTATGTAGACGCGGAATTTGAAAAAAGTAAGATCATTAAAAAATTGCTTCCGAAAATTTATCAATAAAATCAGTGATGACAAATATGGTAAAGGTGGTATGCACTAATAACGAGCAGTTGCAGAGTAACATGACTCAGCTGCCACGCTTCAGTACTATGCACGCCTTTTACGAAAAAAATAAGTTTTTGTTAAGGTTGGTGATTTTTTCTGACCGGCTTTACTACCGAAAATTTTCACGCCTCGCCACTGATAGGTACATACATATTATGATTTGATTTTTTGCCTTTTATTTTCCATCATCACGGGATATCAGATTGATGCTCATATTTATAACAACTCTATGTGTATTATTTGAAATTTAGCTAAGTATACTCGCTATTCCGACCTCTTCTTACGACATTCTTCTGGTAATAACAGTCTGATATTTTGATAGCAATCAAATTATAGTATTATAACTCGCCTATCAACCTCGTAAAGTTTAAGAGTGTTCCAACACTTATGTTAACCTCCACATTTTGCCACTATTTAATATTCATATACATATTTAAAAAAATATGTTGTAACATGTTGACTAAAATCATTATTCAAGACGAACATGTTACTGTTTCAAAATTACCTTCTTTAACAAAATTACTTTTTTATGACACTATTCGTTGGCTAACATGTTGGCTGACGAATAATGTCCTTAAAAAAAAGGCAATTTTAGACTTTTAGTCGAGTTTTGATGACAAAACCCGACAAAAAGCAATTTCTTAATACAACAGAAAACTTGGGGAAATTTATTTTATGGTAACTTTTTGCTGGGCGCGCTCGTTTCATTACTAAATTATTACGTGAACGCCGGAAAAAGCTAAATAAATTTTAGTTCATAAAATGACCATGAAACGAAAATACCTCAATGACTGTCAGTGTTGCCAGGTCTACTGTTTTTGAACAACATCTACTGTTTTACTGTTTTTTAACGAAAATCTACTGATTTTTAGGAATTTTCAGATTTTTACACTTTTCACCACTATTCTTGTCGGCTTTTTAGATTTTGTGAATCGTCTTTTCCATTTACGACGTCGTACTTTATGTTTTTGGAATGAAAGTGAAGAGCACATTAAATAAAAAATGTTGTAAACTGTTCTTATTGGATAAAATAGGTTCATTATGCACTCCGCTGAATGATGTTTATTTTAGCTGGTCCATAAATGTATCTACTAAAAATCTTTATGTGCATGCATTTCGCACTAACGTGATCTCAACTGTGACTCTTTGAACATTGAACATTTGTCGGAGTTTTTGCAAAA